AAATTTGATTTATTCGTTCAGCTGCTTTTGGCTGTTTTTAATGTTGTCTGGGGTATTATATTTAATTATTTTTGGCTGAAATACATTTATTATTTATCATTTGCCGCTTCATTAACTTGTGAATGATTTACTTTATCATTTATTATCGATTCAAAAGCTCTTATATATTTTCTACTAAACTACTACTTAGCCTAAGCAGTCCGGTGGAGCTGGTCTTCCTTGATGTTAATCGTATACTCTCACAATCATAAATTAATAGAAAATCTCTTTATTAACTATTTTATTGTATACTATTATTTACTTATCTAGTGCAAACTATGTGCAATCTACTCTTGTTATTCTGAATACGGTTCGTTTAAATTGCTGCATTTTGTACTTGCAATTCTCCAGCCAGAATAGCACAACCAATTCTTCTGCAGTCCTTGCTCCCGTTTTGATGGACACCCATTTCAGCCTGTTGACCGTTGCTGCTTCGGCTGTACTCTCTCTTCCTCATGCGGCCAACGAAACTTGCCTCTTTTTCGGCTGGCCTGAATCGGAAATCCTTCCAACTGGAGAACATTTGCCTTCAGCGGCTGCTGCAAAAGCGAATTCCTCTTTGGCCACATCGGACTCAGCAACTGGTAGAGGCGAATTTTTCGACGATTCCGCATCTGAACAAGGAGCCTGGATGCGTCCAGTAGCCTGCTTTACGGCTCTATCTCTTCTAGCTGACTTGCCGTCCAATCTGGCCGCCCAGGGACGCATGTTCTATCCAGTTTCTTCTCAGCAGACGCCTACTAATATACCCATTACTGCTTCCAGCACCATTTGGCGTCGTCTAGTAGTTGGCTCTGTTCATCTACCTTCTATTGAGAGTAGATCGCCTCAATGGGTACCCAGCGCGGCTGAAGCCTGTCTCTTGGCGCTGCATCATCTCTGGTTTGCAGTGCTGCAAGCTTTTTGTTCAGATGAATTGCTGACCAAGTTAATTTCGGTAAGTCATTTTATTATCAAATTTACTTTCGTGGGTATATGTAGCACTCCTCAGTCCATTATCTTATTTTGGTGTATTTCAAAATAACTATGAACCTATAAGTTGGAAAATGATTTTTACTTTAATGTAAACATGTTTATAATTAATTAATCTTTAACTAAAATAATTAAGATTTGTTTTGTTTTAAATGATCTTTATTTAATCTAAATTTAGTTCATATTTACTCAAAATTATTTTTATTTCGGGTAATATGCAAAATCCCATTCAATCGTCTCTTTAATTGCCTCGGCTTCACAAAATTCGTGGTGTGAAATTAACTTGACTCTTCATTGAACTGG